TATCATTCCCCATATATATATATATATATATATATATATATATATATTATAAAAATAGTTTACAAATGCTTGCCAATAATATTGATGCATGTCACAAAAAAATTTACAAATTATAGCATGCACTTATTTTTGGACCAGGGTTCCCTTTAGTTTTTACTCTTATTTTTATAGATCATATATATCTTCAATATCATTCGATTCGGATAGAATTATTATAAACTACAAAATTCTTTTTCTAAGTATTTAACACAATTATATATGTTAGACACTAACTCGAACAACATTCTTTCGCTTCAAAAGTAATTGTAGGATTATGTAGTCACCATCTATGGGTTTGAATGTTTGATTTATATTCTATTATTTAGTGTATAATAACTTTTTTATGGTTAAGAATTTATGCAGTTACAGAAGTGATTGTAGAAAATCCATATTCGTTATTTTTGTTGTTTGACGTGATTTTATTGTTCAACAGCGCGTATTTTACGTGTGTTCAAACACACTTGATATATTATATAAACACAGAAAATCTTTGGCCTTGAGATAATGAGTTTTTATGCAAGCAAAGCACTGTTCTAGTGTTCTTTAATTTTCCTAGTAAAAATAAAAAAGCACTGTCCTAGAACTCTAATTAGTGCAATTACAGTGGAATCTATATTTTCCATTATCTCCTTTCTTTAATCTAATGGCATCTAATAGTCATGCAGGCGAATAAGAATAACTACCTGTTAACCATCATATGATTAGTTGTCAAGTTTCGAATAAATTTACGGTCAAAATTTTATAATTGAAAATTGAATTTGAGGCATTACAGTTATATTTTCTAATTATTTTACTGATTGCATTTACATGTGTTAATATTGGTTATTTAATACCAACAAGTCGTTCCAAGTTATCAGTAAAGTGAATAGATATTTTGTATTAATATTATATTAAAAGAAAAAGTGGTTATTGAATAGTTTTTCTTTTTTCTAATAAAATGTAAGAGATTAAAACATTTAGAGTATGAAACCTGCGCTTAAAATAATATCTTGTAATCAGGGGAGTGTGAGGACTTGTACTAATCTAGCAGAAAGGGGTCATGTAATTTTAGCTTTGGTCAATGAGATGGAATTGCAATAGTAGGATTCCATATGAATCATACAAACTAATTTTTGCTTCAACGTCATCATATACAAATCAAATACTAAGACGAATCAAATTACTCTGTTAACCACATCAGAAAATGCCTACTAAAGCAACAAACAACTTATGATACAAACATAAAAAGAACAGTAGATCCATCAGTAACTATTTGTACAAAAGACCTGATATTTTCAACTTTTATGTATTTAGATTATATCTGCTTCATGTCAAGCTTGGTGTCTGTCCACAAATTTCAAGACAAAACTGAGTTATCAAGAATTAGAATCATCCACTGGTTAGAAGGAAACATCTTCAGAAATGAATGCGGCCCATGCATCCTGTTTCAATGTGAACTTGGAATCAACATTGTTCCTCAGTGCAAAAACTTAAATGGTAGAAGCAGAAGTATAATTGATCCATATATGGTCGACAAATTTTACACACCTGAAGAACTGAGAAAGCCTTCTCTGCTACATACTTCTGAAGTGGTGTTGCTCCTCTTTGCTGCAGTTTGTCTGGATGCAGGCATAACCTTGCTCTCTGATAACCCTTCTTCACCTTTGAGCTTTCTAATAGACTCATAAGAGGAATAGCATACCAGCCACTCTCAGGGCTTAGAATCTGGTCATGAAAAAATACAACCAAGTCAATTATCAAAAGGGTATAAAACTACACAAGATTTCATAAGAAATCATCAACAAAGAAAATCTTACATGATGTAGTGTTGAAAGTAGTAGCCTTATATCTGTTTCATTGCCAGAGGACCACAATCTTATATCTCTGTCCAACTTCTCTGTCTCTGTCTGTTGCTTCTGGAGAAAAAGCACAAGCTATCAATAAGCTTTATTATGAGGAAATAGAAATGGAACACAAAAGGAAAATCCTAATATGGACCACTGGTCACTGCCTTTTCAAGTTATGGAAGTTTTAACTGCTTCAGAAAACTTGTAAATATAAATAAATAAATAAATATATATATATATATATATAAACTGTTATTAGATTATTGCCTATTTTAATTTTTCAATTACAACCCGACATCATATTTCAAACATTTATTTTCATAAAAACAAATAACTTAAATATGATTTTAGTCCTTCAAATTTAGAATAAATTTATTTTTAGTTTCTCAAATTTAACATTATTATTTTTAATGTGATGTTTTCACTAACATGGGCCTAGAAGGTAAATTTTATACGAAAGTATTTGATAAATTCTCTAATAAAATTTGAGTATAAGAATTAAAACAAGATTTTTAAAAATTATAGAGATTAAAAATAACAGTTTTAAATTTGATGGACTAAAAACAAATTTAAACCTAAAAAATTTGATTAAGCTTTGTATTGATAACTAAGGATGTTTATTTAGATGAATTGGGTGTCTAAGTTATTATAAATCTCTTGGTACCAATTTCAATTTCGATGGATAAAATAAATTAGGATTAAATATATTTATAATACTAAAACTTTTGTCAAATTTTATTTTAGTTCATGAACAAATTTTATTTGGTTTAAGTTCCTAAAAATTTTCTCTATGAACAAAAACATTTGTCAGAAGGAACCAAAATGTTAAATGGAAAAAATATTTTATGACTAAAAGTGAAAATTGATAAAAATTTAGGGAGTAAAATTAGTAAAATTGTTCAAAGACTAAAAAAACAAAATCGACAAGAGTTCAAGACATAAAAACATGTATAATCCAAAAAATTATATGATGTGATATGCTGATACTTTAGGGTTATCAAATACATTACCTCCTGAGTTTGAACTATTCCAATTTTGTCAGTGTGGTATTCACTTGCATCAGAGCTTCCTGCATCACAAGATACAAATGTAAGTGTCTGCTATTGTTTGTCTCAATTCAGGGCCACAACATGTTAACATTGTATGAAAAATTCCATTAGCTAAGACAACTCACCTGTTCCAACAGTTTGCCCATTGCCATCATGTCTCACGCTTGATTCTTCATCAGAGCTTCGTGATTGAAACTTTTCTTTGGCCCATGCAATTGCTTCATCAATGTCTGATGCTTCACACTCTTCCCTTCTGAGGTTGGAGTTAAGTTCAATGACATAGGAGCTCATAGCTTCATCATCATCATCATCATCATCATCAAAATCAACATTTTGTTGTGAAAGCACATGATCATGCACTGACAATTTTGCCTGAGGTTCTTGATAAATTGAAGAGACAACAGAATTGAGGTCCCAGTCATCAGTGAATACTTTGATACTTTGATATGAATTAGATTCAAGACTAGCAGTTTCTGGGGATGATACTCTTCTTGAGGATCCTAAATATGAGCTTCTCATGTTTTCCTTGTATTCATTTTCAAATGTTTGACCATTATTGTATGCAAAAAGTGGCACCCCATGTTTACTTGGGTGTTCCTCAGCCTCAGTGGATGAGTTCCATCTCCATGAGACATTGATTGGCCTGTAGCAATCACCACTAGGAACCCTCAGAATCCCATTACTGCATTACCATAGTTTCACCAAATCATTCTTATTCTTATTCTTCCATCTAATTCTACAAAATTAACGTTATTGTGGAAACTACAAAGCCTATATAGTTGAAGAATAAAACAACATGAAACAAACAAAACCAAGCATAACATTGATAATGAAATTAGAAAACGCAACCCCTAAACTTTAAAGTTCCAATCAAAAGCAGATAAAAACATTTCACTGCCTAAATCTGGAGAGACTTTAGCTCACCATACATTATTGTAACATTGCAAAAATCAATTATTTTAAAAACAATAATTTATTATTTTCAAATCGATTAAAAATTAATAAATTAAACGACTATTTTTTTAAAAAAATAAACTAAATTAAACACCAAGTAACATATGTTAACTGTTACTAGAAAAGCAATTCTTCTCATCCCAATCATTCCACACATCAAGAACAACAAGAGTACATATGCAAATATAACCAAGAACAAATCTTAGAAAGAGTTGTTTAACATGATTTTTTTAAAGTGAAACAATAATATAAATCCCACAATAACTCTAAAAATACTTTTTTATATCAGCCACTGAAAATAAGTTGAAGAAATATAAGTTTTGTCATGTAATTAACAAAGGGCATAAATGTCAATTAAAAAAAACAGTTGAGTTATCAGTGGGTATCTTGGTTCACTGCTACTACCAGTACCTTAGCCTTGAAGCAAAACCAGAGAGTGCCACGTCATCTCCGATCGCCGGCCGGCAAGGGCTTAACTCTTCCGAACTCATCGCCGACGACGAATTCTCCTTCGACAGCGACCTCGACCGCTCTCTCGATTTCCGCTCATCGTCCGACCCGAATATGTCGCTGTAAAACCCCTCATTCCTCGCCGGAATCCTGAACACCGGCAAGCTCCGGCCACCCTTCGCCGCCGGATATGAAAACTCCGGCCGCCGGAAAATCTCCTCATAAAACGTCCCTGAGCTCGAAAATTTGTGCGCCAGGAGGGTTCGCGGTGGGCCCCCGAATACGTCGGAAAAGTCGTCGGATTCCGAATGGCCGACGCCGGCGCCGGTGAAGATGGGGCGTTGCCGCCGGGAAGATGAGCGGTCCTCCACCGAACGCAGGCGAGGGAGGCCCCGCATTAAGTCGGAGCCGATTCTCTGTGACTCGTCCATTTCCGGCGTCGTTCGCCGGAAAATACAATGTGGAGCGTTTGCTTTATTTTTAATTATTTATTGTTTGAAATGGAGCTTAACTCTAATATATATATATATAGAGAGATAGTTGGAACTTGGAAGAGCACTACACACAAAAAGAAATTAAAAAAGAAAAAAGTTTGAAGGAAGAAAGAGATTTGTGAAAAAGACATTGATTGACTTCTACACTTTTTTTCCTACTACGATATATTGTTAACTCGTTTTACCCTTTTATACTTTTCACATTATTTATAGATATATTAAAAAGTAGTTGTATGCCATATTTTTTACTTAAATTATATATAAAATATTTGTGTTTAAATTAATTGAATTTAATTAAAATGCACTTGATTATCTTTAAGTGCAATGTATCGGAATTAATTAAGACCATTCGCATACTATATTGTTAACTCTTCTCCAATCACTATGATTAACTTTGGGGCGAGAGTTGGAGCAGATACATGGTGACTTAATACTAGACAAATTAATTTTTTTTGACAATTAATTTATTATTTAGTGATTATATAAATGGTCATTATTTTTTTATCAGCATTTAAATAAAGGTTGGTATATTCAGTGTCATTAATATTATTACCGACATTTATATAAAATGCTGGTAAAGATCTATTAAATTGTTAGAAAAACTTATTTTTTTTAGTGGCAATTCTAGTGGTCGTTTTAAAGGCGATTAAAAGTTATTTTTTTCGATTGTCTCTTTTACTTTAAATAATTTATTCCTATAATTTCCTTTTCTAAATTCATAACTTATATACTTTTTTTTATCTCTGCTTGATGTGAAATTTGTAAGATGGGAGTTGTCTTTTATTTATATATTTTTTAATTATCTTGTCTCTTAAGAAATGTAAGATTTATAAGGTGAAAGTTACTCTCTAATTATTTTATAACACTATTGAATTTGGTAATAATGGATGATTTGATACCAATTTAGAATAGTGAATTAGGAGTCAACCCTATAAAATGAACCTGTAAGGTGATAATTATTATTTACTTATACTATTTAATTATCTTATCTCTAATCGATGTGGGACTTAAGTTTTTTCTAATAAATAATTGTCGCTAATAATAAATTTTAGTGTAATATAAATATATTTTTAGTGACTATTATATATTAGCTATTAATATTTTATATATAGCGACAATTAAATTATTATCATTAAATAATTGTCGTTAATAACAAATTTTGTTGTAGTGTAAGTTTGATTGTAGATTCTGTTAAATTACAATCTTTTCAAATGAGAAATATTTATGATTAAGATCATTTTTAATTAATTGATATATTTGATTCTACATATTCATCATCATGCATGCATGAAAAATAAACTCAAAATTATTTACCTTTTAACTTTAAGTGTACTATTTCTATATTGACACACTAGGATAGAAATTATTTGTGAAAAAGAAAAAGGTTAGCTAAGTAAACATGGTTTATGATTTGGTTGTATGGATCCTAGCATTGTTTGCAAATGGTGTGTGATAATTGAAGGAAAATGCATGTTGGGATTACCTGGAAAGAGGCTTATGCTGGAAATGAAGTCCCCACAGACATCATAATGAGGGTTGTGTTTTCTTTTCCTCCTTTTTGCACCATGCTTTTGATTTTCTTTCTGGGTGGGGCATGCGATTCTGTGTTACCCTTTCGGTTGTCTTCATGCCCCCGATCATGCCATTATTTTGGAGTGTATAATTTTGAACTTTGGGGAAACAATGTGAGGATAAAAATCATTCAATTCAATGGGTAAGCAAGCGAGTATCCAAGAATACTAATAATTATTGCTTTTAATGGAGGGCATTGGCTGAAAATGTCACAAGTGTGAATTTGTGTATATAGCATGAAGAAGAAAAAGTGAACAAAAGTTGGATGGTTGATGCCTCAAAAGGGGACAATGCATGCTTAAGTTGATTTGAGATCAGCCTCACCTCACCCTTTACTTATTCCATTTAGAGATCGTAATCTATATACTTTTGATTTTGAGGTGAGGTGATGTAAGACTATCACCAACTATAACCCTAGTGGCCTAATCATTCTGGTTTTCATTTTTTCTTTTTTAGTTTTCTTCTTTCTCCATTGTAATTGGCCGTTTAAAAATGCATATTAACGTGCTCAAAGTCAAGGCTTAGATAGCCTTGACATCCCATTATGTGTGAGAGGGGATGTTAATATATAGTATATATATTCGGTTTATAACGTCCTTTACTATTAATTAAAAATTAAGAAAATATAAAAAGAACTCATTGAAAAGGAAAACAATATTTATATAATTTTATCTCTTACTTATTAAATTTTAATTTTAAAAAAATGGGATACACGATTGGCTATGTCACTAATAATATTTGAGATACGACTATAGGTACCTCTTGAGTACTTGCTAAATAAAAAATTTCACCAAAAAAACAGTTAAAACCAGCTAAAGTGTGTTTTCCTTCTTTCAACTTTGCCATTTTTATCTCAGTTAAATCTATTCAATTCTTTTATACGCACATAAGATACAATCAGGCGTGTGCCAAATTTTCAAACAAGTGTAGATTTAGCTGGAAAAATCTGCACTTCAGACTTTGAGACAGACAGAGCCAAACTTTCCAACATGTGTAGATTTAGCTAAAAAAAATCAGTAAGTCTATCTTCCTTTATATATAAGATATTTCAGACACTGATACATAAATATATAGAAAATTCCAAACTTTTAAAGAAATAGAGAATTAAATGGAAACAACATGTTAGTATGTGTAAGTGGACAAGGATAACTTGTGAGTTTGATTTGATCCAAATCAATTTAGTGAGTTTAGATTAGACTTTTTCAAAATTGGAGTGAGATCCAATCCAATATGGTATAAAAATCTGACATTGTATAGATTAAATAACGAGTTTTGTATTTTTTTATTCATAATTCAACTAAATCCAATCATATATAATAAATAATAATAATAATAATAATAATAAATAATTAGTATTTGAATGATCACTTGTTAAGGATAATATTTTTTGTTACTCTTGTTTAGTAATGAATTTTGTGTTTTTAATTAATAATATAGTAACAATACAATATATTTATTTTACATTTTATTTTGTATTAATACTAATTTTTTTAGCTAATAATAATATAATAAATCAATAAATTTATTTAAAAACTTAGTTTATATCATTATTTATTTTATGAATCGATAATATCGTATTTGTAACAAAATATTAAATAATTTATATTTAATATAAAATATTTAAAATTTAAAATAAATAAATAAATCTAATTATGTCAATCCAATCCAATTTGTCCGTGATTAGGTTGAATTGGGTTAGATTTCAAAAATAAAAGTATAAATCCAATTCAATCCAATTTGTTAAATTTTGATCGAATCAAATAATAGATTTATCCAAATTTAACCTAATCGAACCCACTTACACTCCTACATGTTTAAGTACAAGATTAGAATATATTGTTTTTAAAATTTCTCTACTAAAAATAACTTTTTATTTTTAGTAAAAAAACTCTTAAAAATATTTTTAATTTATATAAAAATAAGCTCAAAATCAGCACACATTTATTTTCTTTTATAATAAGATATTTAATTTAGATACTTTCAGACATTGAGATAAGTATAGACAAGAACTAACACGTCAGCTCTAGAATCTACATGCATGCGATGACAAAGGAACAGAGTAATATTTCTATAATTAAACATGATATTTACCATGCATGAGGAAAATGACAAAGGAATACAGTGATATATATTAATTTCCATAATGAAACACATGTTTACTGTGCAATATTGCAATGTCGTCCTCATCTTCCAGACATCAAATGAGAGGATCATAATGCCCTGAACTGTTTCAAGGGATAACTGACGAGGACAACAGGTATGATATAAAAATCTAGACGTTGAATTGAATAGTGAATGAGCAACAACAAAATTGATCAATAGTTGTTGGACTGAGAGCTGTTCACGATTTATTTTTGTTGCTCAAGTATCCTTCATTTTCGAGTACTTTTCAATTCAAAGACCAACGTATCAAATAATATATACTAAGATATTTTGGTTCTTGTGCTCGCCGAGTAAGGTTTGATCTATATTTTTAATAAGTATGAGAAGGTATATATATATATATATATTATTGCGCAGTCATGAAGTGAATTTTGATTTGAAGCACGCACCACTCAGAAGTCGAAAAGTGTAAATTTTAAATTATCTTTTTATAGGAGGAGACGACGTTTGATAATCTTAAAGTGTTTTTCTCCTTAATAATGAAACTTTCGATTTCTTATTTTGTAAAGTAGTTTCATCAGATATAAGGTATGATATCTGTTGACGTTGATATATACGAGTTTCCCGATAGAATATTATATATAGTTACTGTTCAATTGAAAAATAGTGTTTTATACTTTGACCTCTTTGGATGTATTTTTGATGAGGACTGGAAATAGGATGGAGCTAGCTAGTGAGGGTTACTTTTTCTTTTTCATTTCATGATAATATCTTGTACCATATATATCCTAACTTCATTATTAATGATTTCTTAAAGTTGAAAATAGTGTAACATTGACAGTATTTAAACAGTGTGTATGACTGGATAATTGAAATTATTGTATAAATTTTAAAAATGATTTATTTTCAATTCACATTGCTGGTTACCCATAAGCTTTGTTAATTAGTTTCTCTCAAATTTTTATGATTAAACGGGTGAGAAAAGAAAAACAAAATCATTGACAGTTGAGTCCTGAAGCAAACATGAAGCGTTTCTTGTGGCCTTTGCATGTGAAAAGTAAAAACACCTTCATCATGCATGTCCTCGGTGTAAAATAGCAAAAGCAAGTCAAAGGTTGCATTTCTCTCATATCATTGGTCTTCCACCTTTCCCTTCTTCCATGCACAATTTTCTTCTTTCTAGTTGAAATTTCAACATGGTCGTACGTAACATGTAATCAAAATGACAAACTAAATAAAAGATTTGGGTTAGGAGGTACATCATGAATTGATCTCTTTCAAAACCATCCCCACCGGTTGAATGTTACATATGGGTACAAAGGTTGTTCACGC